AACTATTGTCATTGGCAATAAAAAAGACATTTTCAGCCATTCCCCAAAAACAAAACACATTACATCATACGGTATCGAACACCAAACAAAACCCACATTGACTAATTACATTAGTTTTTTCAGTCATTCCCCAAAAACAAACAATAAATTTTTCAGTACTAGTACTATTTCACTTCATTTTCATCAATTTGTGCCTTTTGCCTTGGACTTCTTCTTTCCAGCAGGTTTGTTAGTCGATGTAGACATATTTTTCTTTTGCTGCAAAGGCTATGGCTGTGACTGGAAGATTTGCTTTTGACAATTTTACCTATGAAGTAATGTTCCATTGGAGTCAAAATGCAGATTTTCTCGTTGACTGACTTCAATTTGGACAAAATGCGTGAAATGGACCAACGTTGCAATTACATATAAAGGTTTGGGACTTCGGTCGCAAAAATTAAAGGCTTGGGTGTAATCTGCAGCAATATGAAAGGTTTGGGACCGGCGCTACAATTTTCCCTAAAATTAATTAAAGTTATCGAGTACCATAAATATGCCCCGAGCTATGTTTGAGGCCAAAACTCATGGATTGGCCCATTGAAGTTGGCTTCTACTATTTTTTCAAAAACTAACCAAAAATATAAGAATTGTAGATTGAGAAGTTAGACTTGTATGGGAGAAAATGAAATAGGGGAGGAGGTTAATATAGAATGATCCTTTTTTACAAAAGGAAACAAAATTAATAAATAAATATGACTATTGGGCAAAACAACCCAAAATTGTGACGATTTGTAGGCATGGAAAAAAAACCAAAAAATCGATCAAACCAATTAAATCAAATTGGGTCGATTTGACACAAGTAATTGGTTCAGTTTTCTTTTAAACAAAACCATGGTGGGTCGATTCAGTCATGATTTGATGTTTTAGATCGTTGGCTAATTGAACCAACTCAACCCACTTACATGTTCATATTTTTTTTTTCAATTTAAAGAAAATAAAAATCAAAAGATAAACTACAATATCATGACTATATCTCGATTTTCTCCAATCTATGATGTTGCCGGTAAGTAATATCACTGAAAATTTTCGTTCACAGGCTTATTATGTTATACTTAGGCAATTTTTTTTATATTCAGGCGGTCAGACTATATAATCCATAAAAAAGTAATAAAATTTTTAAGCTTTCTATTAATCCGCCTCTATTAATTTGATTTTATTGTTAGTCAATAGTTCTTATAATATAAAATTATTTCAATTCTTGTAATTTAAGTGCGCCTATTAAAGAATTTTTTTTTTTAAAAATTTAATTTGGACCAAAAGTCCAAACCGATTAACCAAATCAATTTGGTTTGGTTTGGTTCGGTTTAAGAGTTAGAATGGACTGGTTTGAATTGAAATTTGCCTAAATCGACTTATTTGACTTTGGTTTCGAGTTGGAGTCGAAATCAACCCAAACCAAACTGCACCCAGACCTAATAGTTTGTGCCCCACGGTCACATTTTTTACCTTTTGGATCGTCAAACGGTCACAGTGTCCCACTAACCCGCCTGTGGGCCAAGCTTGTGAAAAAAATTTCGAGCTCGACTCGATCATTAGCTCGTCTACGAGTTCAAAGAATCCATGTGCCGAATAAAGTTGAGCATACCAGTGGCTCATTCCATTTGCGGCCCCTATGGAGACTTGGTGTATCAAACATACTTCAAGATTGCAATACAAAACAATATTCAATTTCCGTACTCACCAACATTTGAGATCATCATGTAGCTTCTTGGAACTTATTTTAAATATATTTTCCTATAAAAATATAAATTTAATTTTTATTTTTATAAATAGTTTTCCACAAAATATAATATGGTCAAATATTTCCATTCTATTTCCTTGCTTTCACCAACTAACACGACTTGTGCAGTTTCATATAGTTTGTAAAATCGTATTAATTTTAATCAATCAATTCTAATCTTCCTGAAATGATAATCAATTCTAGTTTTATTCATTTATTGCCACCAATTTGAGGGTTTTACTCCAACCATTCCAGGTAAAAAGTGTAAATGAGTCGGTTTTAATTCTATTTAAGGTTTAAATTAGCTCTTATCCAGCTAAATATGGGATTTATTTTCCAATATATCTTATTATTTTCTTAAATATCCACATTTTTGTTTCCATGCACGAAATATCCACACTAAAATCAATTGCCAATCCTGCTTTCAATATTATATTTGATTTAATATTCGACTTGTAACGAGCATTATAACATAGAATCACTTTTTAAATTGGCTTGCAAAGAGAAGAATTCTTGAACGATTATAAAAAAAAAGAAAAAAGTGTAAGATAAATTTTTAAACTAAACGACGTAGAATTCGATTATAGTCGTTTAAATCTATGACTCATCCATACATGACATCCACATTGACTCATAATTTGACCTAACCAACTACATGAAACGAGTAGTCTATAATTAGATCTCCTAAGATTAAATCCACCACAATAAACATTCTCAAACTGTTGAGCTTTAATATCAACTTTAACGCGGTTTTTAAGTATTCATTACTCTTAAACTTTATATATAAAATTTTCACCCTTCATAATCAGCAGTAACATCAAAGAAAATATGGGTCACATTTGGAAAGATTTAGGGCCATGATTTCATGCATATATTCGATTGCTTTTTTCTATGTATAGAATCTCTGTCTCTTGACACCAATGTTTTATTTATTACCATACTTTCTTCGACTAAAATGTGCATCAAAATGGCAATATTGAAGCGAAAAAGGAATAATAATGATACAATTTCTCCTTACTTAAGCCGGCAATTCACTCCCAGGATTGCAAACCTTGTAAGAAACCCTTTTCCTTTTCTTTTTTTTTCTTTTTTTTTTTTTTCACTCTCTGGTTTTCTTCTTGAAATATTTCTCAAGTAGAAATGGGTTTGAATGTTTTTGACAGTATTCTTGGATTGATCAAAAGGAAAAGATGGGCAAAGGCTACCAAATGGTATCAATTTTTGTTAAATTCCAGTGCAAATAATGGTTTGTCTTGTTCATTTTCATTTTCTTGTTTCTTAGTGGACATTGGTTGAAGAATAGTTTGCTAAAATTGTTGAGCTTTTATCCTTCATTTTCGTGTAGATTGGGTTTGTTCTCTAGTTCTTTTACAGCAATAACTTAAGAGCATTTTCCTTGTATTTTTACAGTCCCTATTCTGAGCTTATAATTTAGATTTTATTCAATTCTTGTGTGCAGCTCTTAAGGTTGGGAATAGTAATCCAGTCCTTCCCTTTGTAAATGCAGTAGTTCTCGTGCGAGTTGTTTAATGTTATTTTGATTCTTTCTTTTAGCCCTCTTTAATATTAACAAAGATCAAAGAGGAGAAATGCTTAGGAAGTAGTGAAGAATGTTAAAGAAGAATGTTGTTTTTCATAGTATCTGAACACTTTTTCAGTCTTAAACTTGAATGAAAGTTCACTTTTACCTTTTCTCCTTCCCCTCCTCTATAATTTTGAACATCAAAGTTAAAGTACTATAATTCTGCAGCAAAAGACTGATTAAGCAGCTCAGGAGTCGTCTAACGCTCCAGAAAAGCAGAAAAAATGCCATCATAAGGCAATCGCGGGCTGATATCGCTCAACTTATGCAGAATGGCTGGCATAATGCTGTTTCAACACGGGTAAATTTTACTTTTCCTTTCACAAGTTACGTCAGTAAGATTACACATTCAAATATCTCATCACAGCTTCTTTTTCATCAAAGATCAAACTATAATTTTGCAGGGATATCAACTTTAAGGAAATAGTTTAAATCTGTCGCTGGAAAATCATTTGCTAATACTGTATATAATGTTCTATATCTAGGTTGAACAACTCTACAGAGACTACTGCAGGTTATATGCATACAATCAACTCGAGAGTTCTTGTGAATGCATTTGCACTAACCTTCATGACATTGGCCGGGGCAGGAAGCTGTCGGTCGAGGTTCATGAAGCACTGTCAACTTTGATATTTGCTTCGTCCAGATGTGGAGAATTGCCTGAGCTACATTCGATAAGAATCTTATTTAAACAGCATTTTGGTCACAAGTTTGAAAGAGCTAATGTAGAATTGCTACCTGGGAATTTCGTAAACTCTGAAATAAAGCACAATCTTACAATATCATCAGTAACAGAAGAAGTAAAACAGTTTTAACAAATGAAATAGCTAAAGAATTCACACCTCAGTTGGAGGCCCTAAATCAGCAAAATCACCTCTTCCCGGAACTCCAGAAGGTGAGTCTGATTAATTTTACCTCCCAATGGCTTGATATATATGATTCTTAAACATTGCATATCTTTATATTATACTTTCTACTCTATTAATGACTCTGCTTTCTTGTNTCCAGATTTGACTCGAGCTATGCCCATCCAAAGCTTCCTGACTATGATGAATTGGTAACGAAATTCAAAAATCTCAAGAATAAGTGCTGTCAGAAAAATTCAGATAATCGAGGACTTTTCAAGTGGATGAGGTAGTAGAAATAAGAAAGCTTGATGATCTTACATTGTTGACTTGTTTCAAGACAGCATTTCTAATCTCCATTTTTTTTTCTCTCTCTCTCTAGCTGTTACATCTGATGTTTACAACTTGATTCTTGCTGTACTTTTTCCAAAATGCAGTTTAGTATGTAAACCATATCTTAGTTTTCTACCTATCCGTTTTTTGTCTTTAAGCATATCTTATGAATGCAAATGCTATTTTGTTATTACTGTTTTCAAGGATTTTCCTACCAGATTTCAGAAGATGAAACCTAAAAGAGATACTATAATATGAAACTAGTGGAAGTCTACTAAAGATGTACTCTACCGACAAAGAATTAGTAGGAAAGAGTTACATTGAAACGAAAATATATTTCCCATTCTATGACACATACAAAGTAAACCATTAAACAACAAACAAATACAATGCAAACCAATAAAAAATGAAGAGGGAAACAAAGAAGATGCACACAAAGATGAAACCTAAAAGAGATACTATAATATGAAACTAGTGGAAGTCTACTAAAGATGTACTCTACCGACAAAGAATTAGTAGGCAAGAGTTACATTGAAACGAAAATATATTTCCCATTCTATGACACATACAAAGTAAACCATTAAACAACAAACAAATACAATGCAAACCAATAAAAAATGAAGAGGGAAACAAAGAAGATGCACACGAGTTTTTAAGGCATCGGATCATGGTTCAAATCTATCGAGCGCATAAAACATGGACCACCTGTTTGTTTAATGCTTCCTCTGATTGTACTGTAATAAATTAGAGTATAATTCTCCATCTGGCAGCAAACCAAGGCCTTATTATGCACTGGAGCTATTTGGCTTCCTCACATGCAGACTTATTGCTGATGCCGATTGTGATTAAAATTTGAGTATTTGATTGGTGTAGAAGGATAAGTTCTTCACAACAGTAATATTAGATGCATTGGTACAAGTTTCAGCTTTTACGACCAAATAGAAGAAGTTTTCGAAAGCCTTTGGTGACTTTAGGAAAGTTTTCATTGTCATTCCACTTCTTTCTGGAATTAATCAGGTCTGGAGTCATTTCATCATTCGGAGGTGGAGTTGAGCTTTCCACGGCAGAAATTTCAGTTGAAATGGGTATTTTTTGTGCCTTGTCCCCATCCTCTTCATTGTTCAAACCAGTGGTACTCAAACCATTTCTAACTTCAGATTCTTCAGATACCACAGAAATACCTGTCAAAGGCTCCATTTTCGCAGATTGGTTTTCAGAAGAGAGCAAGTCTTCATTAGATAAAACCTGAATGCAGGTCTCGTCATCTGAAGGATCTTTCTGTGAAACCCTATGCTCCTCATTCTTCTTGGTCGAAGATACAGTATGCAACACCTCGATAGTTTTAGATTCATCAACCTCAACCTTAGATAGAGAGCCTTCAGCACCATTAATCTTCTCTGACGCGGATGATTTGTTATCTATCTGATCCCTACCCGGATAATCAGATACAGAAGTATTTCCCTTAAAATTACTTGTACCAGTGTTCTTATCTGAATTATTGACCTTGTCCAGACTCGCTCTTCTGTTCTGAGTTCCAGCTATCTTCTTCAGTGAGGAAGTTTCCTTAAGAGTAAGCCCCTTGGAGGTTGTTTTTCCACTTTGGCCCACCTTTGATTCAGTTGATGGCTGTTTGCTAGTTGTCCGAGCTGCCGCAAGGCGATCAATTGTGGAAGTCCTCATAACAGGCTTAGTTGACTTATTTTTCTCTTCTGCTTGAGCTGGAAGTCTAGGCTTCTCAACTTTTGTGGCAACTTTGTGTGTCTTGCTCGCCTTAGAAGTTATATTTGAAGTATCTGAAGTAAAACCCTTAGTGTCACTTCTTTCAGCAATTCTCTTCTGACGCTGTATTAGTAATTCTTCCATTTTCTTCTTGTTCTGTTCTTCCTGAATGAATGAAAAGAAGACAAGGACGATGTTAGATGTAGTAGAAAGGAGGTCAACTAAAAGTTTTATAAACATTCTACAAAGTACCTTAAATTTAAAACAAACTATAAAATATTTGTTGTACAGATTGGATCAATGCCATTAAAAGCAAAATGGAAATAATACCTTCTCAGCTTTGCTCTTCTGACTCATTGTTCTACTCCCAGAATAAGATTTTTTGATTCCTGGTGTTATATTGGATTTGCTCCTTCCCAAAGATCCATTTGGAGCTTTTGACTTTGTTGCTTTGTCATCCACTTTTACTCTAGAAGCTTTGTTCGCTGTCTTGTTGCTTCCCTTACCATTCGGGAGCTCTGTAGCATCAACAGATTCACTTCGTTCAGAGTTGCCCTGTCCTTTAACAGGTTCAACTAATAAATTCACATTTTCACAATCCATTTCAGGGTTCCAAGAAGCTACAACTTGCTCAGTAGCCAAATTACGCCCAAGCACCATATAGAGGTCATCTGGTTCGTGGAAATTACCGGCTTCAATCTTGCTTTGTGAATTATCTGGTGTGCTATGCTTGGATTGGTCAGCTCCAACAATGTCGGAAACCATAAAAATGTCAGTCTTTGGTCGAGTTTCTGACGGATCATTAATCAGTCGATCTTGAACCATGAAAGAGTCATCCACAATAAGATCTCTCTTATTTTTCTGCATCTCCAAATAACTGAGATCAGAGGCTGAGATTTGATTTCCATACAGAATAGAGTGATCTATCCTTTCTTCTTGAGTTGTTGATATTCCTTGTTGGCCGCTTATGAACCAATTTTCTTCTTTTTGGCTCTTAATCATGGAGGAATCATTTCCAAAATTAGATAGTGTAGTTTGGGAGTAGTTGTCCTGTCCTTTATCTCTCTGTGGAATTAAGAAATCTTCATTTGTGCTGCCCCTCTTAATTACTCCATGTACATTTTCTCCATCTTCAAAATGAACCTTGTTCGCTTCGACATAATTTCCCATGTTCTTTTCAGTCAGAAGGAAAGCATCAGTTGCACTTCGGTTTTTCACACCATTTGATTTGATATTTAAGGATGCAATTTGTTCTGCAGAGGCCATCTCCGTAAAATAACCTTCGTGAACTTGTGGAGTATGCAAACCCGTATCATTGGATCTCTCATCTGCATCCTTCAGGAGAAGGTTTTGGAAGAAATCCCAGTTTCCATCTTTCCTTTTTTCTTCAGAATTAGTAGTGACTGCATGTTCAACATCTGAATTAGTAGGATCCTTGGATCTATTGCTAGCTTTCTTCCTTCCATCTCGTTCTTTGCCGGACTTTGGCTTATGGTGTTTCTCCAATGACCCAACAACTTCCTCCACCTGCTGTTTAAGGGAATCAGGATCAATAAATTTATCTTCATCAGAGGAATCACATTCTGAAGCACTGCTCCTTTCTCCATTTCTGCCAGAAGTGATGTAATTTATGTTGCGGATGACAACTTTTCTCGAGGAATGTTTTCCATTCTTCTTTTTGCGCATCTTCTCACCTGAAGAATGACTTAGCTCCTGCTCCTGCTCGTCATTTGAATCACTTCCAGAGCTGGAATTACTAATCCCCATGTTGTCGTTGATTTTGGTACTGTGCGGGCGCATCCCATTCTTAATTTTTTCTTTTTTCTTAGTATAGGATTTGTGTCTCTGATTGTCTTCTGGTTCTCTATCAAGGCCCGGACTGAAATCTTGGGCACCGGAAGGCCATGGCACACTCCCTGGATAATATGATGGTGCACCCTGCATGCCCGGGAAAACATATCCATGATATGGAGGGATTTGTTGAAATGGTGGACGTGGAAAATTTTGCACATACTGGGGAGGGTAGTTTGCCCATGGAGGTACTTGAGCTATCCCATCTGTTGATTGCACATTGGACATTGATGGCAAACCATTATCTGCCCATTGTAAAAATTAAGCATCAATTATCAATCATATTGGTTTTAAATATTGCTTGCTTTTCAAAGATTTGGCTCTTTGCGTGGCTACTTTATATACTCATTTATTATGTCTTTTTAGTATACACAAAAGGGTTTATACCAAATCCCCCCACTAAGACATAGGGGGCATTTTGAAGAATTCATATTCGCTTCAAGACATGAAATTATGGGAAATGCAAGAAAAGATTTTATGATACGGTTGCAATGGATTCAAGACATGATACAAAATCTATTCACATTAGAAGCAAATCGGGAAGAAAAAATGCCGAAATCACTCTTTAAAAAGAAGGAATGATCCACCCCTTAAACCCACTAATTAAGTTAATGCAGAAAATGTAACAACAATGCTGTATTCTAATATGTTTTAAAAATAAAAGAGAAGAATTGAAAAATATACTGAGGCAAATTGATTCAACAATACCTTGGTTAGTGTCTAAACTTCCGTGGCTAGTGGTTGACTCACTTGCCGAAGCCTTCATTAGCCCATTATGATTTAGGTCATTATCTTCACCAGCAAGAACAATTCCAGATGTTCCCAAGAATGGAAACTCAGAGTGGGAACATGCCTGCATTGCTGCCACTTCAGCCATCCACAGCCTGTCGTCATTCTTTTTATTCCAGAGTACCATGAAGTTTATACATGCTTCCCTGAAAAGAATCAAAAATATTTTGGGACAAAATCCATTTCAGAATTAATAAAAACACATTTTTACTCAATCCCTACGTATCAGCACAACTGGTGTTTGCAGAAAACCTTTGCATATTTAAATCTAAATAAAATTATATTGTACCTTAAACGCACAGCTCCAAATGCATCACTGAAAGATATAAGATCATCTATGTAGTCCATCTCAAATCCTGCCACTAGTGCACGAGCATAAGCCATTGCTTGCTCCTTCTTAAGCATTGCCTTTCGAGTTTCCAGAACACGCTGAAGACGAATCCTGTCCGTTGCCAGGGTGCAAAATAATTATTGTTATGTATCACAACACCATTGTAACTTCATAAACAAATTTGACAAGTGCAAGAATCTACTTAGGTTTTTCTTCTGATTCAGCATCAGCAATTCCATTGGACCCAACATTTAACTGGTGTTCAGATTTACATGATTAGTCATCTATAATTGAGATGTGCTGTCAAATATAAAGAGAAATTCCCAGTCTATATTTCACAGATGATGGCGTACCTTAGACGAAGCAGTTAAATGTTGGGAATTTTTGTTAATGCCTGTCAATTCCACAATGCTGTTAAGGAAGCGCGTGTAAATGGATTAATCTTAGCTACAACATGATTCATTATTTTACCAAAGGTTCCGTTGTAATTAGTAACATTTCTTGCGACCAAAACCAGTACGAATTCGAAATGACATAGATAATAATGTAAAACAAAATTGTTTTTTATTCATTTGGAGTACCCTCTGCCTCTGTTGCCACATCTGATTGTTCATTTGATTGAATTGAACTATCAATCTGTTCGATCTCTCTCTCAATTTTCACAAATCTCTCAAGAACTTCTGGTGTATTGACAAATCTCACAAACCTGAATACAATTAAAAAAATCAGGAAAAGAAGAAAACACTCCCACAGACATATATTGAATTAATTAACATAACAAAAAAACGTCCGTGGGGGCAGGTTTTAGTGTAATGGAATAGCCCCCTTTTGAAATTTGATCTTTAGCTGATTTAAGATGGGAAATAAAAGGATCCAGTAGTCCTGACGCTAATTTCTCATTCTTTTTACCAGCAAAGATCACAAGATCACACCTATTTTTCGACAAGGTTTTTAATGAATAACAATGTCGAATTCAAATTAAATTATATGTATGCAATGGGAATGGAGATTCACAGAATGTACCTGGTTCTTGTCGGAGTTAGTTGAAACAGAGCATAATCGAGACGAGTTCTTGGCTCCATAATCTATTAATCTCACAGAAACACGCAGGCACACAAAAATACACACACAGAGAAAATTCTTTATTGAACCCCCTATTCTGTAAGCTAAAGAATTTTCTGAGATCGAGGGAGGTAGTAGGCACATGCAGGTGCTATTGGGATATATTTTTTTAGCCGAACAAAAGTGGGTCCTGCATTTTCAATGCCGACACTTCCTCTTTTTCATTTATGTGTGTGAATGTCTCTTTTTATATCTCTCCGTGTGGTAGAGTGAAAATACATGTATCAATATCATATAGAGATAAAACAGGAAGAGTGGGCCAAGAATGGTGAGTAGCTCAAGGGTCATTTCAATGTCTTTTCATGTTCGTATTCTTGTTCTTGAAGGTCTCAGAAATGTTAGGTTGACTGTGTGCTAGTGCGTGTAGATTTGCTTTGCTTTACTGTTACTCTCGATCAGTGTAATGGAGTGAGGAAATGGGAAAGGAATAATACAGTTTCACTGATAATGGACCCACCTTCCTTACCCGATTTACCTGACCCGGCCCAAATAACTATGGCACTGCTTCCTCCTCAGGGAATGTTTTCTTTTTTAATAAAGATTACTCCCATTCTATTAGGGGGAGAATTATACTATAAGCTCCCAACCTTTTTTTCAAGTGTGTTTGTGGGTTTCCAACTCCAAAAAACGAGCACTTAAATCCTTAACCTATAAAATGCGTACTTTTTAAGTCCCCAAATGATGAAAACCGATCATCGAAAAATAAAAAAATCGTATCAGAAGAATAATTTATCCTTCAATGGAATCAAAAACCGAAGGGTCAATCGTCTATATTACTAGCAAATAAAGGTGTAAATGGTCTGTTATCGTAAGATTTTGAATTTCTTAGTTCACATGTCTTTATGGTTTGCACCGAGCCTACTAATCCATAAAATTGTGATTTTAACTAAAAGATTTTTCTTCTTTTCTTTAAAAAATTTTAGACTCACGAGACTTGATCGATGAAGATTACAAAGCCCTGTAGTGGTCATGATCCATTTGTAAGTGGAGGGTTGTCGAGCCAACTCGTGACTTGTCTCATATGAGTCCTATTCAAGACTATAGTATGATTTATGTTGATGCCCTACTCGTGAATCGTGATGTATCAATTATCTATTTTAGGAACTTAAGGGACTATTTTGATATCAAAGTTCAACCTCAAGAATCAAATCAAAATTAATCGACTTTTGATTTAACCATGTGAAATTGTCCAATCAAAACAAATCATCAAATCTTTGGTTTAAGTGTTAATTATTGTATTTGTGACATTCACGAGTGGAGTTGCCTCTCTTTATGGAGTTTGATAAAAAGTAGTAATCAAAGCTTGAACCTTGTGAATATTAGGGTTGTACATCGCTTTCACTTTTCACTAAAATCTCAATCTGAATTTCACTTCAGATTGAGATAAATAGATTTTGATGAAAATAAGGCAATAATTGATTAATTTCTTTTTTGGGATAATAATATGCCCCCACAACCCACTCACCAACTCAGGTTAAAAACCACCACAGAAATACAAGTATAAATTTTCAAAACGTATTTCATTTAATTTTAGTATATTTATAATTTTAACAAATAATTAATAATGAGACCTTTTTAACATTATGTATGTTGGGCTTTTCTAATTTTATGTTTTTAGATGAGAAATTCTAGGGGTGACAAACGTGTCAAATCGCTCGTCGCCTTGTAGGCTCGATTCTTCCCCATTCAATCCACGAACAATTTGATCTTTTATTGAGACATAGCTCATCTCAAATTTTGTTCACGAGCCAACTCATGGACTCGTTTTTGGGCTTATTTCATACTAAAAAAACAAGTTAACTAGTAGACATGAATCGAGCTCAGCTAGTTAATAGGATCGCGTTAAGTTCGAATGTCTAAAAGTTGGACTGACTCGCCTCGACTCATTGTACCCATAAAAGATTCTATGCACACGCATTCAGGTGTAATAGTGGTGAAGTTGATTGAGGAAAGGGATAGAGCTATCCACCTACCTCATCTTAGCTGGAAAAATAATGACTCTTTTGTCTATAGGTGACATGACATGATTTCCACCCACAACTTAATTAAAGGGCCATCTCTTCTCCTTGACCCATTTGCTGTTTAACAACATGTTTGTGTAATTATTTGATTTTGGTACAACTATTGAATATTGATTTGGGATTGCAATTTGCAGCCAAACCCCTGGGCCCACTGCTGCCTTGCAAGCAAGATAATTGATCATGTACTAGATCATATTATTCGACCGTGCAAAAATCTTTAAATTTTCCGTGTAATGGTTTGTATTAGTGAAAGATCATTTACTAATGATTGGCAAGGAACGTTGGAATGTATAAAGGATGGCTGTGATGGCCAAATAAACTTCGAGAAGAACGATGATGAATTAGTGGCCCGTTGAACTTCATAGACTTTCGCCCCTTATTGAAGATGAATAAAAACCGGACTCCACAATAGAAGCCCATCATACCAGACCCGAGTCATTTGGGCCGTGCAGAAGAAATCGATGAATTTATTGAAAGAGTAATGCTGTAATTTAATTTCATTTTTCATTCCGTCTATTATTTAGTGCTTGTTTGGTATGAATTTTGATAATTGATTTTTTGACCATTAGAGATACAGTAAATCTTACCTGTGAAAGAAAAATTAAAAAATGAAAACTGAAATAGTAAAATAACGGTAAAAAAATTGATTTTAATTGGATTAAAATCTCAAACAAACAATCTCTTAGTACCACCTAAATTGAAATTATAATAACATTATTCTTATTAAAAATATCTAAAATAATCTCTCCATTATATCACTGCATGTTTTACTGTACTTAAAAAAGTTTTTTCTTTTCTCAAGAAAATAAATTTTCTTAATATGAAAATAATTTTCAACAAAATAAGTAACTTAAAAGTCTATTTAACTTCGTTTCATACAGAACTAGACAGGAGTAAAACTCTTCTTCTGAGTTCAAGTATCCACGGAGGAAAGAATGATATCCACCATTTCTGCAGCAAATCTTTAAGAGCTGATGCCTCAGAAAAACTGCCCATAGTCCCATAATCATCACCATCCCTATTCCTGCAATCAAGCTCATTTCTTCTCTTTATCTTCTTCAACCTTCAATATCCTCAAATCTCTCAGTTTATTCAACTGTGTTTAAAGAAACCCTAACCACCAGTCATTCGTCAACTCATTTAAGATGGCAGATTAATAAAATGTCACCTAATTGCTACTTAGACTCATAATGTGGCCAACTTGTATTTACCAAGTCCTTAAAATTGAGAGCTAAACACAAATTGATCGAGACAAAATTCATTTGGGGGTGAAAGCGAGGTAAAATAGCTATTACAAAAAAAATAAAAAAATAAAATTGACCCCCAATCAAGAAACGTTAGCAACTCATACTTCTTTCCAAAGTCTCATACTGTCTCAAGAAAGCTCCAAAGGATGCAATGCAACTCCATTTTTGGCAACAGGATTTCGTCCCCATCTTCCTAATCGGGGCTCCTGTCCAAAAAACATTCAACATTAGATGACAATAAAGCAAGTGGAACATACTCACTTGGATAAAAATAGTATTTATCGTAAAAAGGAAAAAAGGAAAAGAAAAAGCAAGAAATCATCAATTTATATAAATTTATTTCTCTGTCACAAGCCATTTCAAACTGAGATCCATCTTTCATATATCAAGCCATTTCAAAGATGAAAAAATTAATATGTATTCTATGTATGAAACTAAGCAATAAATTTCCACTTCCAACCCAAGCTATTACTAACTCAAGTTATCGTGTTTGATCTAATAGACTGATTCCTCGACACTCCCACTAATTTTCACTCCTCAACTGAAAACACAAGCCAAATAACCACATTGTTTAAACCTAATTCGCACTGCTGCATGTGCTACCTTTCATTCCTATGACTTGAAGCACGAATGGTACAAAATGCCAATTGACATTGCATCAGACTCCCACGTGGTATCAAGGGAAGCAAGAGGTATCTTCTTTCTCGCCCAACTCTAGAGGTTAACCCCCAGTGAAATTCAGTCATAGAAAATACTGCATCCTGAAAGTCTAGGAACCATTTCAAAGGCTCAATATGAAAAATAATTTTTGCAGAGGTTTAAATCATCTTAACAATGTTAAATGATGCTTCTTTAATGATAGCAAGAGCTATTGTCTATCTTATACCGACATTTAATAAAAATCAGGAGTAACATGCAAGAAATACTGTCAAAATGTCAATCAACTATTAAAGAAGGCAGACTAAATATAAACGAATATTTTCCACATTCCACTAGTAAAGATTCAGTTTAAGTAACATGAAAAATTTTGAAATTTGTAAGGGGAGGAAAACTTCACCTGCCCAACACCAGCAATAAGGAACCTTCCAGATTTCGCAAAAGATAGAGAATTCACAAATCCAACCTACAAACATTCCAATTCACGTAAGAAATAGAAACCAGTCTTGGCAAATGTAGGAACTATATTGAACAACACTACCTGCTAAATCTAATTAGGAAAACTTCGACTACAATATAAAGAAGAAGAAAAAGAGCCTACTAATCCCTGGACCTTTTTTACGTATTTTAGGCTTTTACAAGACAACCTGTGAAAGTTTCATGTCCTTCAGCACATTTTTCACTTCATTAAGGTGCAGTCACGAGTCAAATCTCATCTCATGTACGAAAAAATTATCATATTTGAAGTCATCTAGGCAACCCAAAAAGTAAAAACCTTTCTTCTCTGCTGTGATAGGAAACTTTCAACATACTGGATTTAGAAAGCCTAGCCAAAGACTTGTTTGTGAAGAGATGACAACAAAGTATAATGACTTGTGTTATAATGATCACATTGGATTCATCCAGGAGAACCATTATATGCTCACCAGGGGGAGCTCAAACAGAGGACGAATGCCTTTGGATTCACTCTCAATCGTCCAGAGACGTATACAACCATTTCCGGCTCCAGAGGCGGCAAGATCGCTGCTTCTACATACAGCCACTGAACTGACCCAGGAAAGAGCCGTTGAATAAGGTTTTTCAGAATCTTGGGCATCATTTTCTGCAAACAAATAAAGTAAATACTGCATAAAAAATATACATAAGAAAATCTGAAAAGTGGCCCATGTCCACAGATAAAGAAAGGAAACTCCAGCAGGCAACAGACAGGAAGCTTGAAGATCAAATTACCTATGTGGCCATTTGATAAGCCATTATGTCTTTGTTCAAACTTGATCTGACTCAATGAGGCATGTGCATTTCTTACAATATGGACAGGCTTCTTACGTAATATGTTCCAATGTTCAATGCTTCCATCATCAGAACCCGATAAGAATTCATCATTGCTAATAAAGCAGCAGCATTCCAGGGATGATGCAGAAGCTCGAAATACTAGTTGAGATTCTTCTGGTACCTATTAGGAATACAAAGATTATGGTATAAACAAATTAAAAGTTTACCTAACTTAGGTAGAGACATCATAGGCCATAACTTGATATTCCATTTACTTGTTTCTCACATTCACAACTCTTGTCGTTTCAAAAAGGATATAAAAGGAAAAGAAGAAATAAAAATTTCATATTGGAAGATATGACAGACAAGTGTGCAACACAAATTATCAACATATTAGAGCCCAATATAAATTCAGAAGGTCTCTCTCAACAAGCTAAGCCTTCCGGGCTATGAACTTGGGTTAAGCCACATGAATCTCTCCTTTAGAACTACCTTTTACAAAAAGGTCGAGATATATCATATCTTTTGCAATGTTAACTAAAGTCAAATTTCCTACTTATTTATGTCTCTGCATCACTCTTACAAAAGAGCTTCTTTAAGTCTAAACAGCTGCAACATGCTCAATTAGGATTACATCCACTTGTTTGCATAAATAATCATTTATTGTGTTTGGTTAATATCCCAAAAAAACAGTACTATAAAGCATAGTTGGTCTGATTGCCATTTACCATCAAGCATAGTTAGTCTGGTAGCCATTCTACAGAATTTCCCCTTTGAATGTAGGATTTTTAGATCACATACAATCCATACTGTTTCATCCCATCACTCTAATCCTGTAACTTACATCATTTCTAGTTCCTTCTTGATTGTTAATAATCAAGCCCAGATATCTAGAATAATTGTTTCCAGTAACAATATGACCACACCATGATTTTAAAGAACATTTCATCCATTCCACTTTAATAGTACTTGACCTAAAACTCTTAAAATCCTCAAGAGTTCTAAATTGTGAACAACCCATTCCTAATATCATAAAGTAAAATCGGATCATTATCAAATAGCATAGACTAAGGGACCTTTGTTTGGATCAGTCTAACAAGCTCGTTTATTAATTAATAAAAAAAAATAAGAATTTCACAGGAATCTTTATACAAGCCTATTCTAACAAGAAATCCCCCAATATTACCTCATCAGATCTCATATTCTTAACTATGCCCTCCTAAATATCCTTAGTACTAGTAGGCTATCTAATAGAAATCTCTCGCTCTAGAGCAAGCCAAATCATCTCCATAGAGATCCTATAATATGATTTATTTATTTTTTCCTTTTAAAATCCATAAAGAAAGTAATACCTACTGCAGTAGGTCTCGGTACCAAATAATCAAAATAATTTTCCAAGAGCATTGGATACATTTTAAATTGTACTCAACAACCCCTAATAAATCGAAGATCTCTGTAGTTCGTCCAACCTTGAATATCACCTTTGTCATCTTTAAGAAAAATCATGACACCCTTCTTCCCTTCATAAGAATCTTTTCACACTCCAAAACCTGATTGCATACATACATCAACCACAAAGTACTCATCTTTACCTAGGAACTTCTAATCTGATTAGCATTGTGTCTAGTTAGCTAATTTTCTTAGATTTCTCCTTTTCAGAGTATGCTCACTATCGCATAGTACTTCACAATTTGAAACTTATTGAGTTTGATTGATTTCTAGCTTTACAGTAGATTTACCCCCCACAACCGTACAGAGTGTGAAACGATTTGGACTATATTATCTTCCTTTATAACAAGTCTAAATAAACAAGGATGGAGAAAATGGAAGAATGAGGCAAAAGTGAAAATCAAACAACAAGAGTGGCTATCAAAAAATGAAGTCTTGACAATTGTGGTTGCAAATCCCTTCAGGAAAAGGTTGTGAATTACCTTCCACAAATGCATGGTCCGGTCACGTCCAACGGTCAATACACGTTCTTTCCTCAAGCTGTCAATTGTTAACACTTCACTCTGGTGACCAAATAACGTGTTTATGTAAGTTCTATCTTCTGCATTCCAGATCTTGACAGATCGATCAAATGAACCAGAAAAAAGTTCTGAAGTTCCTTGCCTAAATGTTAAGCAAGACACAGGTCCTTTATGCCCTGGAAACGCCTGCAAGTAATGCAAAAGGTGTGTTAAAATGGCATTCCAAGAACATAAAGTACATGCTTCCCCTAAAGATTTTGTCACATGGAGCTATAAATTAAAATGCACGCATTACATGCATTGGGTAGGAATACATGACTGATCAAACTAGTAGTATTCACAAATCCATGAACACTTTGTTTTCATTTTTTATTTAATGGAGGCATGCCACCTAGTAGCTAATGCAGCAAATAGAAGAACTAATTTTCCACATAAAGGGCTGGGATTTTCCAATGCACCAGAATTATTGTATCGTCAAGCAAGTATCTAGAATCTTTTAACAATATAAAGATAGAAATCATTTACAGATGCCAGTTTGAAAAACAATCATTGGAAACTTCCACATTCTTTTTCAGTACAAAAGAGCTATGTATCTATTGTTACTAACAGTTCGGTAGAGGCACCTGAATATGTTGCCGAGTACGGATATCCCACAAATGAACATGACGATCTAGGCCACCACTTGCCAAATATCGACCATCAGAACTAACGGACAATGCTAGAACTTGCTTACTGTGCTTATTAGCTCGACCTTGTGGGTCCTTAGCACCATGAGATTTCAACACTATATCACTAGGCCACACATACTTCTCATTCTTTCCACTATTGACATCCCAATGAACAATAGTACCATCCTTAGAAGCTGAAAATCCTCTGGTATCATCCTCCGATAGAGCTACAGCAGTAACAGGTTGCCGGTGTATTATCAAAAACTGAAATCCTTCTGTCGTTTCTGGTTTTTGAACTCTAAGGATTACAATACATTTCAATATCAATAGGTAGATGTGTAATTAATGAGATGCGTGCTAAACCAAATCTGTCTGGTTACATAAAAGTTCACAAAAATTGGCATGCACATAGTTTTGAAGCATGTAAAAAAAAGGAGAGAGTGAGCACACAAGGAAGCATCGAAAAAGCTTAACAGCATCAAAATCAACAGTTTCAGAGACAACTACTACAAATGCAAACCACATTTGTCAATTCACTGAGATGAACCATAACTCGATGGGAACAATCAATTATTATTGAAGAATATGTGAATTTACAAAACTCTAGCAGAGTCGCTCCCTCTGTAGTAATAATCATGGTTCTCTTCTATACCTTACCCTGTGCTATCCTAGAAAAAAACCATCATTACCCCATAAATGCATCAACCATCAAAGAAAACCACATTCACCCAGCAACACAACTTCTCACAAGCCAAATATCCAATAGTAAATTATTCAAAAACATTCAACTACTATTGCAGATAGGAAATTTAACTGCAACAATTTATATAATACCAGCTCAAGCATGTTTGTCCACCCCCACCCGCACTGTCCAGCTCTCAAAAAATGGCAAAATAAGCACGAATAGGCTCAAATTAGGTGAAAGAGATGTCATAACAACCCATTACGAGCATATATCAACAAAAGAAAATATTGAACTCTTTTCTTAAGTCCCCCCCCCCCCCCCCCCCCCCCCCACCCCCCAAAAAAAAAAAAAAAAAAAAAAAAAAAAAA